GAATGAAAAAGACCAGAATGTTTTTGAACACTGTATGTCAAAAAAATAAAGCGATAAGTATGTAACTTATATCAAATAGTTTGGTTATCCTATGCAATAACTGCACAAAGTTGCATAAATCTTGCTTAAATATTCATTGATATATGGACATTTTTATAAAAAAAAAACTTATTTATTTGCCTTACGTCTCCTGACTAACTGTAGAAATAGTTAACAAAATTTTGCAAACTTTTTAGATTAATTTTTAATTAAAAATAAAAGCCTAATTTTTAAATTAAAAAAATTCTTTGGGAATTTGGAAGATATGAGTGTTTAAAGTATTCCTCTCAAACTGTACATGCACGGGACACAATTTAAATTTTGTTTTGAATCGTATTTGGTAACTTGTAAAAAAAATTTCAGCAATTTTCAAAGCAGCTTTTAATTTTTTATTAAAAGTTATAAATGATATGGGGTTTCCCACGAATTTAATTTTTTATCATATAACAAAATCCAATTCATATGATAGAATCCAAAATTTATGGTCCGGGCAACAAAATGCGGTAGTATTAGGAAAGAAAACGTGTAAAACGTAGTTTAATAGAAGATTGTCTTATATTATGCCAATGTCATTTTTTATCAACTTTATTTGATAGTGTAAATAAAATTCATGGAAAATCCCTTACAACTTACAGTTTTCTTTCAAAATTTACAAAAACTACATTAGCTAGAAACTTTTAAATTTTCAAGGTACTCAAATCGGATTTTTTTATGAGTTTTCAGAACGAAATGTAGATTCAGAACAAAATTATGATAAAATAAATTTAAATGTTTTCAGCTCATGCGCAGTATGAAAGGCTGATTTTGAATTTACACACATGTTACACAATTTTTAAACAATTTTTTTTTTAAATTTTAAAATGTCATTTTAGTTATTAATTACAATTTACATTAAAAATCCATGAATATTTAAGCTAGGTCAACGAAATGGTGTGCTGTTGTTGCATATGATAATCAGAGTAATTAATACAGTTTACTAGCTAATTTTTGTATTTTTTGGCATAGGGTGTTCAAAAAAACTATTTTTCGTTTGTAATTTGTTGCCGGTTCCTATAAACTCTAAAAGCTGTGAACTTCAATGATATGAATGAGAAATCACATGACCTAAATCTTTCTATAGTTTAAAATAATTCTCTGAGTATTTCGGGAGAAATATCAAAAAAAATGAGTAAGTGTAGAAGTAATTCCATAATTTTGTCCAACTCCTGTATATATGTGAAGAAAATACAGATTATTTAGGATTCTACTAAGGATTTTCTTTATATATGAATAAAATCCCAAGTAGCTAAATCTTAATAAAAAATGGTACATTTTAAAAACATTTCTACTAGCACGTTAATCTACTACCACTAACGAAATTTTTCAAAACCTGCGGGTACTCTATATATTACTCAGCTCTTAAAATCAATCTAAATTATTTTTTAAAAGAATTTTACATTTTAAGTAATATTAAAACTTGACCAGACGCATCCGTGCGATTATTATTTTTTTTTTCAAAAAGATTGTTTACATCTCAAGCAATAATTAAATCAAGTTAAGCATGTGTGATTTAGATTGCTCCTAATTGTGAGTTTCTTTTTATTGATTCAATACCTAAGATGGTAAGAAAGTTCAACAATCTGGATCTTCTGTACTGTAGCAAACTCAAATAACGTTGCTTCAATGCTAAAATATAAAATGGTGTTTTAAGCAGACTATGAATTAACAATTGAAAGCGAGAACAAATAAAATAAAATAAAAAAAGGCTCATTTGGATTATTTCCCCAGACTATTTGGTCTGCTTACTATTACAGTAAAAATATATTTCGTAACGTGATGTTCTATCATAAAATGTCTTGATAAAGAATACATGCTGAGCCTAAGTAATTCAAAATTAACAATTTACAAATTATTTTAAAATCTAGTTTTTTTTTCAGATTTGTCTTAAGTTTTTGAATAAAAAAAACCTATCACTTTAATGAGGAGAATATTTAAAACTTTTAGGAGCATACAAATCTGTACATTTTAACTTCATTATTTTAATAGCGTCATGTATTAAAATTTTGTAACGACCATTAAAATTTTAAAATCAACTAAGTGAAGTGATATATCGAAAAAACGATAAGCGTATTAAAAAATAAATTCTATCCTGAAACTGGAAAGTATCTAATTTAATTAGTCGCATATTCTAAAATTAGCTGGTATTAAAATATTTTAGTTATTCGACTTTTTGCTTGACCATATTTTTCTACCAATTCCGTTGAAAATATTTTATCATATCTCATTTTTTTCCTTTAAATCTCCTACTTCATTTTACTAGAAGCTTCTATGTAATATATTATTAAGGAAAAATAATTTTTAAAGCTATGTTCCATTCTTAATAAAATTACTTCAGGTTTTCACGTAAAAAAGTATTTAGGAAATTATTGAATCATTTTTCAGGATACGATTAGGCTTATTATATTATAAGGATACCTGGAAGGTTTTTTTCACACTAGGTCACACTAACTCACGCCTCTCTTATTAATTTAATTGCTTCAAAATTTATACTTTGAGACCAAGATTTTTATCAAGGAAATTAATTTTTTTCCACTAAATTAAAAAATTGTGTTTATAAGAATTGAAATAAGATAGTCTCACTTAATTAGAATATGGAGACTAATTTTATTCTGGACAATATTTTATGATTTTAAAAATGTGTTCTCTTTTAATCCAAAGATAATTACAAGGCAAAATTTCAATAGAATTGTTTGTACCAAAAGAGTCGTTCACGGTGAAACATTCCAGATCAAATTACGGTATAAGTACCGGCACTTTAGGGACATACTCTGTAAAATCCTTTTTTACAGTAAAATAATATACCGTAATTTTTACAGTATTATTATTTTTTCAGAGTGATTCAGCGATTTTATTGTATTTATTACTGCAAAAATTACAGTATATCAGAATTTTGTTCGTAACATGTTCCGGTAAAAATGGGTTTTACGGTAAAAAGTACAGGTACCCTAATTTCTGGTACTTTCTACCGTAATTTGATCCGAAGTTTTTTACAAAGCATATTTTCTAATAAATCAGGGCAGTTGTAATGTATTCACCACAATATTATACAAATATACTGTATTGCACTTTTTCTAATTTTGCATTACCCTTATTCGTTCCTTTTTACCCTTATTATGTTCCTTATTCCTTATTTACCCTTATTCTGTTCCTTTTTTATGTGTAGATTAATCCCATGTGTTGTATTTTTTAATATTGAAAATTATAACAGTGAAAGCATTTGCTTAGTAGCGAGGAAAGTGCTAATATTTTTTATAGCCAATACCAAACTCATTATCCAATGCTTTTTACATTTATAGGCAATATTTTTTAATTCTATAGGCAATATTTCTGCTTTTCTAATTTTCCAGTTTCATGTTTGTGCTTGTTTTTCATCTTGTAGTTGTTTATAACTCTTAATATAAGAAATATATCTAAACTGATGTATTATAAGAGAATTAAACTCTAACCAAAGTATTTTTTAATGTTGAAGATTCAAACTGTGCAGGTAGTTGTTTTATTAGTATGTTTTAATGTACCCACGTAAAAAAAGTGTAAAAATATTTTTTTCTGTCTTAGTAAATCAAACGAAGGAAATGCACTCAATTATTCTACTTTTTACAAAAACGTGAAAATTTTGTTCAAAAATAATCTACTCCAAAACGTGGCTAAACTTTCCCATAATTATGCTCAAGTATTGAAAATATTTTAATAAGAGGCTGCATTGTATGAAATCCAAACATTATTCGCATTGAATTTAATGTTATATATTAGTGCTGTAAACTGAGACTAAAAATTAATATATAAAGGAGCCAAAACCACGTTGGCTCAAGGGATAGAGCGTTCGCTTCCTAATGAGATGAACCAGATATATGCTGTATATATAGATTAATATGCTTTAAAAATAGAATTCTTATTTTTATTAACTTATTTAGTTTATTGTTAGCTTAAATAATAATAAACTGGTATGAAAACTATTTTTGAATTTATATTCTTTTGGGGAAATAAATGTTAGGATTATACAAAAATTATTAAAGGTTTGCGTAATTACTGCAGTAGGTGTGAATTATTAGTTAAGTAGGTGACAGAGATCAAAAATTTTTAAATAACTATAAAAGAGATACATTGAATAAAAAGTATTTTGTTTCATTTCGTAGAATTGTGTATCTTTAACTATTTAGCACTTCTCATATAAAACTCATTAAACATAACGTCTGAGCTGTGGTTACTCGAGGGATAGAGCGTTCACCTCCCTATGAGGTTATCCAGTTTCGAATTCCAGTAGTGGCTGGTTGATACGAATTCTGCTCCCGGTTCCCATAGTGTTGACCAAAGATATCCTCAGTGGTAGACGGTTTATGGCCTAGAATCCCCTTGCCGATGCGTTAACCATGAGAAGTTGTTTAGTGGTATATTGGTTTATTGGAATTACATACACAGAAGAGCCATTACATTATGACCACCTTCCATCTATAACAATGCGCTCGCCCAGGTTTTCATGGTTTCTCGCCCAGGAACAATGTTTTCATGGGGCACATTAGGACCCATAATCCTCATGGAACAATACCTGACGTCTGTAAGCTACTTGAACATAGTTGCAGACCAGGTTCACCCATTCATGGAAACAGTTTTTCCCGCGGGGGATTGTGTTTACCAACAGGATAATGCACCATGTCATAAGGGTCGAATCGTCATGGATTGGTTCGAGGAACATTCCAGTGACTTTCAAGTCATGTCTTGGACCCCAAATTCACCTGACCTTAATCCAATAGAGCATTTTTGGTCCTACTTGGAAAACCAAATTCGCACTGCCTCGCTACCCCCTCGTAATGTGAGGGAATTTCAAGACCAGTTGGTGAGCGCTTGGAATCAGAAACCTCAGACTACCTATCAGCACCTTGAGGAATCAATGCCATGGCGGGTGCTAGCAGTTTTGAGGGCTAAAGGTGGTCCTACATGTTATTAGCAGAGTGGTCATAATGTAATGGCTCTTCGGTGTATATTTGCCGGCTTGTGTGCTCAATTTCGAATTATAAACCTTCATCATATAGAGGAACAGGTAGCACAAAACAGATAAGGACAGCACGAAGATACATCCAGTGTGTACCTCCATGATTTGCGCAGCGTTTGCCATATCGTTCGGTCAAGAAGGCTCCATGGGAAGTTGCTCTCCTAGTTTTCCTAGCCATGCAACGCAAATGCGGGTTAGTTCCATCAGAAAGTCCTTTACGAAAGCTATTTCGGTCCAATACAGTATCCAAAAGCTCCCTTGTCTTCTGGGTTGGGTGGATTGTTTAATGGTGACGGGACTCGTATTTACTCCATCCAGAGAAACTTCTAGGTATCAGTAGCCTATTAAGTAATCATTTCAACAAATAATATTAGCTTTGATACCCCATTAAAAGTTATACTAAAACACAGAATTATTTTCAGAATTAATAAAATGCAATTAAAATGTATAATGCAAAATCTGTTGATAAAATGAACAATGAAATATATTTCGAAACTCTACATTTAAGTACATTGTAGCTGATGTAAACTAAATTTTCCAAAACATCTTCTTTTCTTTAAAATCAATACACCTTTTCATACTTAATGGTTTTGGCAGAAGAACTATTTGTATGACTTTTAAGATATAAATGTTAGTTACTTAAGAGTATAAAAATATATTTTTCGTAGCAGCTGGGTTAAAAATAAAATAGGAAAGAAATAACACTCTCATAGTTAAATTGGAGAAAGAGTTTTTTTAAGAATGTTGAGAGGATTGTTTTCTTTTCTTCTCTTTCAAATTTTTCTTTCTTATCAGAATAATTCTTAGGAGCATATTTCCGTGAAGATTTTTTTCAGTTTTATATTACATCTCATAGTTAAAAAAATTGGTTCGAGTATTCCCGATGTCAGAAATCAATATACACAAAATTCTTTTTGTCGCAAAAGCGCTAAGATTTCAAGATTTTTTTTCGCCTTTAAAAGGAAAAAATAAAATGCTCTTCACTGACTAACATCAAAGAATAATCTCTTCCTTTCTTCCTCTGAAAAAAATAATTATATAAGTAATGCAGGCATACTATTTTTTCTTTAAACTAATCATTAATATAAAATTTTATCTTTTTAAAGTGTGCAACTGTCTTATGACACTGTTTTATTCATAACCATCACACATAAAAAAAATTTGTACCATTTACGTCTGATCTACTGATTTGAAGCGTATTTGTAGTACTTTTTTGTAGTACTAAAAGCATGTAAGTACTTTTTTTAAAAAATACAGAAGATTTAGCGCCTGTGATATCTAATATATAGTAAAATATTATCAACTGAATATTATTTAAATCATAAAATGCCTTACATTATACGGTTTAACTAATGTGTGAATAAATTTGGTTTGTATAATATTTATTATTTGTTTCTTTAATATTTCAGTATATTTCAAAAGAGAAGCTAAATGCATATTGCCAGGCGTCTCCATTTACATTGTGTTTTAATATATTATCATTATTAGTAGACCAAATTAGATAAGACAAATTTTTGCCATCACTTAAGTAAATTTTTATTTGTCTGTCTATTCTATTTTTTTAAACGGAAACAAACATTTAAAAGAATTAATGTTAAAAAATGACTTTAGCTATAGCGAATGGAATTCTTCTCTATTGTTAACCCTACTCTTCTTTACTGTTAACCCTTCCCTATTGTTAAAAATGCTTATTAATTTAAATAACAGTTTAGAAATTAAAAGGAAACAATACTGATGATACTTTACTGCGTATAGATTAGATTTTTCATTAAAATTACAAAGCTGTGGGAGCATGTAATTCTAATTAAATTAACTAGAAATGAAACAGAATTTTAAATTTGCCAGCTAGTGGGGCTATCTCAAATATTAACTACTCAATATTCCATAAGGTGAAACTTGCGTTATACTATTAAGTAGCACATTGCAAATTAAAATACCTTGACACCACATTAAGCTGCTAAGAACTAAAGAGGGAGAAACTAACTAAAGTTGAGTATCTCATGTGAGTAGTTATTATTCACATAGACACCGTTTAATAACAATACACATTATAGTTCAAAGCATTAAAAACATAATACGTAAAACATTTTTCACAAAAATTGTCTTTACTTTCTTGTTTTTTATATAATTTAATATTTTGAAGATCAGGTTTAATCAAATACAAATACAAGAAAGGTATTCTTTGTACGCATGCCGTATATTTAAACAAGTATTTTGACGCTAGATTTTATTTCTTGTTAGAAACAGAATATCATTTATAGCTTGCATGAAAAAAAATTGCTTAAAACTTCAATTTAAAATATTTATAGTTCAGATTTAATATTAAGCTCAATTCTCAAACCTGAGCTCAGAAAAAGATGCTTTAAAAGCATCTATCTTGTTATTTACTGTATAAAAACAAATGGAAATTTGAATTTATTTTGCATAAGAGCTTAGATTTTTTATTTATTCTCTCATATAACAGCAGTTATTCTCAAATCTACTTTTCCTTTTAACCTCTTCAAAAATCTCCCTAGGTATTTGCTTCCAATTTTTAGAACTTTCAAAACGTCAGTTCTCCAAAATTGAGTCAAAAAGTGCCTCATTTTTTCATAATAATTTGATTGAATTTACACTTTAAAATTTAACAATTATTCCTTAAAGATTATTGATATGAACTCGATTTGAAGAATTATTTTCAGAACCAATAATATTAAATTTCGTTCCTATGCAATCTATATCTGGATATGAATGAAAAGACTGGAATTTAAATATCTGTATTTGATATGGAAAAAGTAATAAAGATATTTATTACTTTATTGCCTGTTTAAGCACCAGTATAAATAAAGAATCTAATTCTAGATGTTTCTGCTTGAATCGATCTAGCTATGAAAAATCTTTTAATAATATATAAATATACAACAGATCACAAAATAAAAAAAAGCCTCACCACGGATTACTTTTGATCTAATTATCGGATCGTCGTGTTATAGGACTCAATCTTAATGGATCTTGTGGGTGACCTTAAATATGCAAATTAAGTATTGCTGACAATATTTTTAAGTTACAAAATCAGACACAAAAACGTACTTTTTCTGAATCAACATAACTTTTTTTCAACGGATTCCGATTTTTGACCTGTAAAATATAGGGGGTAATCGCAATCTGGGAACCTGGAGGTTTGAATCCCTTCATGTTAATTTCCCTTTTGCATATTTCGTCACATCTCGAGGACTTTTTAAACAAACTGAAAAAAAAATGTTTTGCACATAATTATGTAATTCGTTTCTCCAAAGATACTCCATGCGAAATATAAGATTTAGTAAATACTTATAATTTTTTATTTTTTTACTTAATAATATTCAAAAAAATTTAATGTAAGGTTTAACATTGTTTACATCACTTTAAAAAATGCAATTTTAAATAACAAAATGTGAAATTTAAGCGAAATTTGTCGATCAGTCTCCGAGAAATCAAATTTTGAAATAGTCGTTTCTCTAAAAATAACTATTGAGACCATATTTCCTAGATTGCATCCATACCTTTATACTTCAAGGGTTATAAATCCAGGACATTTTAAAAACCATATGCTTATTTAGAGAAAGTACGTTTTTCTGTCTGATTTCGTAATTTAAAATATCGGCTGCTCTAATCAATTAGCATATTTGAACCCTTAGCATTGAGTCCTAGAACGTGCAGATACGATTATTCGATTAAAAGTTATTCAGAGTGGTCCATTCATTTTTTTACGTACTGTACATTAGCGACTATGAAATATATTAAGGATTTATTACTATTAGTTGAAAGTAGTTTCTTGGCATAAAAAGTAGGTTTAATGTGCTTTATTTACTAAAAAAAACTAATTTTAATATTTTTCATTTATTTTTAAAAATAACCAGGTAAGCCAGGATAGTAATAACTCGGCAGGGATGCGTGGACGTGGCCTAGTGATTAATTCCTGATAAAATTTCAAATACTAAGATTTTAATATAGCATAGATTATTACATTTCAATAAGAATTTAAGATAAATGTGAGAATTTCGAATTTTATATTATGGCCGCAGCACCACTTTTAAAGTCTGCTTTCTTGTATACACTAATAAATTGTTGTCTATTTACGAATGCAATAAAAATAAATCCATAGTAGAAAATGCAACTAGTGACAATGGAACATTTGAACTTAAAATAGGAAATTTTGTTTTGAATCAGGTCTTCATGCAAGTTGTAATCTAAATAAAGAATACACTTGCTGAAAGAAAAGAAATTCACCACCTGAAACCAATGCACGTTTTTGAATGCAAAATCGAAATCAAACAAATAAATTTTCTTATTAAATTTGCATGAAATTTTTGGCGCGTGTATGATAAAGCGCAGACTCATCTAGTATAGCATTTTGGCGAGATTTTTTCCCATCACATCCAATATTCATGGAAAACTATGCACGAGCAAAGGATAGGTGTCATGGTTTTGGTATAAATTCAAGCTGATAGCCGAAGAAAAGCTCTAAGAAGAAAAGATGCAAAAAGAAAGAAAAAAAAGCGGTTTCAGAATTCTGATAAAAGTTTTAAGAATTCTTCAAGCGTGAAAAACTACACATTTTAAACAATATTCTTGCATGGTAATGAAAGTAATATTTAGATTTCACGATCCTTAGATAAATAGAGCTCAGAAATTTACAGTTATAATAATGATTTCGGAAAAATTAATAAAAATGTAATTGTTATAATTAATTTATTTTAGTTTTATACTAATAAATCCATGGTATTATTAACCTATATTATTAACCTATATATCGGAAAATGGAACACAAAAGATTAAAACATTTTTTTTTAAATTAAATTCAAGGAAAAAAAATTTTGAATATTATTTAATAATTTTAACTCTCACAAAATTTTTATCAAAACATGCAGTTTCATTATTATTCAATAAGCAGGTATTTTAACTAATCTTTTTTAATAAATAAATTTGTTAATTTAATTACTAAAACATTCGTCAATTTCTTAGTTAATTTTAAATGTATAAAAAAATAGCTCTGAGTCACATTTATCTGAGTTATTTTCTCTTCCTGTATAATTTTTGTTGCTGAAAATACTTACTGAAAATATATTTAAATGCAAAAACCCATAGCTTAAAAAAATAAATATATTCAAAAAGATTTTAAAAAAAGCTAATATATTACTTTAAAAATTTAAAAAAAGCAACTCAATATACAAGTATACAATCAATATACAAGTGTAGTGGAGCATTTGATCATATCTTTCAACAAGTTCTGCAATACCCCTATTACCTATGAGACTGTCTATTGTTACCGATTCATATTTTAACCATACGTTAAAGGACAGTTATAGAAAACGATGATAAT